CATAGAAATATAAAAATGTTTTTTCTGTGATAAAATAATATTTCTATGAGAAATTTCTAATTCCTAAAGTCACCTTATGTTTATGTTTAAATATATGAAAAATTTATTTTATTTGTTATTTTTATTTTGTATTATTATTTAAAATAATTAATATTTAATAAATAATTTAAAAATAATTTATTTTTCAAATAAAATTTTAAAATTTATTTGAAATTGTTTTTGTTTTAAATAAATTTATGTTTTATTATTTGGAGTAATTATTTGTTATTTTCAAAATGTCCAATGCCATTTTGTAGTATCTTTTTTTAGATTTTTGTATTTAGTAATTTTATTTTTTTTTTTTTTTTATATTTACACGTTTAGTGTAAGTGAACATACTACAAAGAATTTTCAATTATATTTTATTTGGGTATTTAATAAATATATACAGGTTTTAATGAAATTTGTTAAAATTAATAATGACAATATTTATTCTAATATTTTTTTTCAGATGGTTCAAGCATTTACAAAGGGATCGGTCAAACTCGAACCAAAGAAAGCAGGAAAATTTGAATTATTTGGTGGTAACATACATGGTGATTTTGTGGATATAACACCTACGAAGATTGTTCAAAGATGGCGTTGTAAACAATGGCCTGATGGACATTTTAGTGATGTGACTATTGATATCTCTGAAAAGAGCGATCATACTGAAGTTAATTTAACACAAGTAGGAGTACCAGTTAGGTAAGACAAAAATGCTTCATATTATTCACTATTTATAAATTTAATTTACATAAAAAACTTAAATTATATAGATGTTTCAAAAATTTTATAAATTTTGTTTTAAATTAAATTAAATAGAAAAATTGAAAATATAATTTATTTATTGTTATTGAAATATATTATGAAAATATTCCGTAACATTTTAATTTAACAATAATAATTTTTATATAAAAATTGATTGTTTATTCACAGTGAGGAAGAATCTACAAAAGAAAATTGGGAAAGGTATTACTGGGATGCTATAAAACGTACATTTGGATTTGGTTATTTCATGTGATCTATGTATGTTTTAAATTTCGCTTGCTTATTGATAAGTAGAAAAATAATTAAAACATATATTGTCGTAAATCGCCTCGCATACCATTTACGAATTAACCGCATAATCAGCTACGTACAATCTGTCTTTTGTCTCAATGCTAGTTACAAGTTTTTCTTTTCCTATATTTCACATTTAGAACATTGCATCGTATAAGCGGGACATGATTACACGATTGCTTAGATATAAATAAAGTATCACCAACATGACACATCTGTATTAATAGTTGTATATGTGAAATAAATCATGTCAGATACTTAAATATTTGATTTTTCTTGTTTTTGATGTATATATATGAATGCATATTACGTATACATATCTTTGTACCTAATTGAAAATATTTCGTCGCTCTATTACGTCGTCCTTAAATTTTCCACTTACGATTGTTATCTATTTTTTCTTTATTACTCTTTAATATTTTCTATTCTTACAATCATTATATTTTATAATTTTTGTGTAAAAATTTTTCTGTAAAAAAACGGCATATATATATATAAAATACAACTTGTACATTTTGCGAAAATTAGTAGTACTAATTCTTGATGATATTAATGTCAGATGAAAAATATAATTTAAGTTCTCTTCTTCGCAATAAAATAAACTCAAATATATATATAATATTGATTAAATATAAAAGGAAACACGAGATAGTAAAAAATGGAGAAAGTATTTATTTACAATATAATATATATAAAAAACTAAGTACATATATACATATAAAATGATATATACATATGTACATAAATATAATTTATATTTAATTATTAAATTTATATTAATTATCACTATGCTCACTAGCACTATCATCTGTTTTATCTGATAATTGAATTTCAACCGATTCTTTTGAAACATATTCTCTTTTATACATATTAGAATTAAATAATTGTAACATTTCTTCAGTAATTTCATAATTCATGCAATTTGTATTTTTATTTTCCAAGTCTAATTTAATTCTAGTTAATGCACTAATCATTTCAGGTTTTAATCTATTTCTATCTTTTGTTTTAATTTCTGCTATGATAGAGAAACATCTTTCCATATCTATATTTGAATGAGGCAATGATAAACATAAATTTGCTACTTTTGCGATATTTTGAAATTTATATATTTTTCCCACTTCATCCCAAAATTCGGATATATTTAATTGTAATAGTTTTTCTTTTTCTTCTTCTGAAAAATAGAAAGGTAGCAAATGCCATTCATCTTTTACATCATATGTATTGAATTTAGATTTAAATTTGTCTAATATTAAATTTAATTGATTTTTGTGATTTTTCATATTTAAAGCAATATTTGGATTTAAAAATTCTAAAGAATTTAAAATTTGATCACCAAAAGATATTTTTTTTACAGTATTTTCGAAAGCACATTGATAAAATTTTTTAATATTTACATAAAATTCTAAGATTTTTTTATTATTATCTTTTGTATTAGTATTTTTAGCTTCTTTTAACGTTATTAAAGCTTCCTCGCCAATGATAATTTCTTCTAAAGGACGTATGTTATTTTCATCATAAATATTAATTTCGTGTAAATTTGGAGCTTCTATATAATTAGGTTTAATAAAATGGCCACCTAAACATCTCAAAAATCTAAAACATTCCGGTAACAAACAGTGAATTAGGATTTCCGAACTTTGAAAAAGCATATTGAAGTCAGTAATTAAACGTAAAATATAATTTAAAAATTGTAAGTACGCTTTTGTATATGGACACTTAAAATTATGAAATATTTTTTTTGCAATAGCAGATTTTTTTTCAATATTTGCTTCTGCAAATATCGAAAATAATACTGTCCATTGAGTTAAAATATTTTTTATACATTCTAATAATGCTAACCATCGGTTTGCAGATGGCTGAATTACTTTTTGTCGTGCAACTTTTATTAAATTTTGAGTATTTTCTAAAATATTTTGTCTTTTTGGATTTTTAGAAAAATATGAATATATTGAATGTACAAATTCTTCAACATGTGTTGGTAAGCATTCACATGCACGACATGCAATTAAGTGCATAGAATGACAAATACATGGGAAGACATCAATTTCCTTATCTTTTAATAAGCAAGAAACTAATGAATTATATTTTCCTAACATAATATTTGTATTGTCTATTGGAACAACAACTATATTCTTTAAAGATAGATTATGTTTTTCTAAAGATTGTAGGAAACATTCATATAAATGTTCTGATGTAGTATCCTTAATATAAACCAAATCTAATAAATATGTTTGAATTTTTCCTTCATGTATGTATCTACTTAAAATACATAAATTTTTGGTTTCTGAAATATCTATGCTTTCATCTATTAAAACTGAAAGTAATTTATTTTGTAATATTTTAGTAGTTTCTGAAATTACAGATTTATTAATTACATTTTTTATTATGGATGAGATTTTAGTTCTTTTAAAGGACACATTTTTTATTATGTTAGAATCAGGTAATGCTGTTTGGATCATTCGAACAATATGATCAAATGAGTTAAAGCTTTTACAATGCTCTACAATATCCAAACAAAATCTCAGTTCTGCTTCCTTTATGCTTTCAGAAATGAAGGTTGATGATTTTTTCACTACACCTTCTTCTTCATTTTTTTTTCCTTTCATATTTCTTTTATGAAGAAGTGTTCGATTGTGTTTTTGCAGAGTACTTTTCCCAGTTATGAGAGTTTTTTTGCAAACTGTACATCTGGCTTTATATGGATCTTCACATTTTTGTAACCATAATGCAAAATCAGGGTCCTGAAGCCAAGCATCACGAAATGTATTCTTTCTAAATTTTTTCCTTGGAGAAGGAGAAATCATGTTGTTATCAATACCTATTTATATAATATTTATTATTAATAAAATATAATAATATATTTTTAAAAGATTAAAGAAAGAAGGTATTTTTTTTCATAATTTAAAAAATACTTATATATTTAAAAAAAAATTTTTTTTCAATCTGAAGTAATTTGATATTAAATAAATATCTTACTCAATGTATTTTTTATATCACAGTTTATATTAATTTTACTGGGCCCAGGAGTAGCTGTACCATTATTATCAATGCCTAAAAAATATGAAATATTCATTATTAGTTAATTTTTTATATAACATGTATTTTCGATATATATACGATATGTATTTTAAAAATTTTAAATAAATTAAAAAAACAAATTAATAAAGATATTTATAATAAATAAAAATACTTATATTTTTCAAAAAATATATTTTTTGAAAATTATATTGACACAAAAATATTAAATATTTATTTTACCTGATTCCTTCTTCATATTAGAATTTTAAATAAAATAAAACAATATAAAATTATAAAAGCTTCACTAAATCTTTAAACTCTACAAAAAGTTTCTAATTTCTACAAATAATGCGAAAGCACGCGAAACCAAAGTTGCTAGTTGCCAAAAAAAAATCTGATTGTAATTGTGTGTCAGCGTGGTAAGGTTGCCATGAAAAGTCTGATCATTGGAAGAGTGGGAGAAAATAGTAATATGGTAGTAGAACTTAGAAATGGAAGTGGGGAAAATAACGGGTGTTCTATTTGCATCGTCAAAGTAAAGTAATCTTGCCCATTACCAAACAAATTTCTGAGAAAATATACGATATTACGTTATTCAACATAACGTTACTCACGTAATATGAATAATACATCTTATCATATTTGATGTCCTCCTAGTTTCTTTTCATTTGTTTGTAGTCTATAGTATGAATCATTATATCACAAATTTACTATACTATTTTTATTCACAATCATCCAATTTTATTTTCCCTCGATATGACGTTACTGTACAGCCATGTTGCCAATAGCATTCTGCTGACAATAGCAACGCTACTGGTAATCGTAATTTTTATTTTAATATCGACAGTTTTATTTTATTTTAATATTTTGTAATGATAAGAATGTTCAGATAAATAAAGATAAAATATTATTGTATAAATAGTAATAACATAATATAACATTTTTTAAAAAAATTATATTTATATTATATTTATATTTATAATTCTTTTAATAAATTATTACATAGATAATACATTTTTAAATCACTTTGGTTTTTAAAATCTTTTTCTTAAAATGTTCTAATGTTTATGTAGTTAAATAACAAAAAAAAATTTTTTATTTGATGTTGGTAAATAAAAATAAACATGTATGTTATGGATTAAAAGTCATTTTATTTATCACAATTTTTATTTGAACAAGTTTCAAGATTTTAATTAAATAAATTTTTATCTCTAATTCAACATTGCGATCAGAAGTCTTTTCCATTCAGCGTTGCAATCATTCTGGAAAAGAAAGATACTGGTTTTCTTGTTCACACTTTACGATAAATAAAAAGAAATAAAAGAAATGCAAATTTATTGCAAACGAAATATATATATATAGTATATATTATACAATTATATTAAACGAATGTTATTAACATCTATGTTAGAGATGCCCATATCATATTTCTTATAAATAAAATTAATGTAAACATGTATTTCTTTCCATAACTTTCTTTAATTCAAAAGCGCGATCAGAAGCCGCTTAAAATCTTCACTGCAGTCACTCTGTAAATGCAAACAGAATGTGGGAAAAATTAAAAGCAATGTTAATAAACGAATGCAAAATAATAATGTATTTATATACAGATTCAGAATAATACACATATGCATGCATATTATAAAAGCTATTCTTAATTAGTAAAATTAGTTAGATAGGCATATAAATTGTCTGATAAATTAATGAACTTCAGTGTGATCTTTTTTTTTTTTAATAATAAAAAAATAACATATTATTCGTTTATTTTCATTTAATAGGTCTCACAGAGATTAAAGCAGCTTATTTCGATGCAAACGAAATAATTTTATAAGCAAACTCATTCACGATAAAATAATTAAACAAGTCCAACCAAAAAAATTAACTACATAATACCGTAATCCTTGCTAATTATTGATATAATTTAGAATAAATATTCAAGTTAAAACATATATATGTATAATAGCTTCGCGGAATGTAATGAAGGAAAATTCCTGATATTAATATATGATTTAAAAACAAAAGAAGTTGTTCAATGAAATGTTTTCATCCAAGTAGAGTAAGCAATAGTCTCTTGTAGTCTCCTGAACAGTCATCCTGAAATTTAGGGAAAATTATGGGCAGCCAAGATATAGCGAGCTAGCTTGTTAAAGGTACTTGTGCTTTACAAAAAATTAAGACACGTATGTGCTTATATATTGTGCATCATTGCTTTGATTAAACTAAGTTTAAAGTTTATATAAATATT